TTAGGCTTTGAAAGATTACGCTAGCATCGGAAATTTTTAGCATAATTCGTCATTTCGAGCATAATTTTCCACTATTTTCCGAAAAAAGCACTGACAGCATAAATTTCACTTTTGGCTAGAAGTTTTGTAGCACAAAATTGCCGATTATTACTCATACAACTGGCAAATTTTTGGGTCCGAGCAACCTCGTTCCCAGGGCTTTTCCCGCCCATTTTTTAAGGGAAAAGCCCTGGGGACAAGGTTGGGGTCCGAGATCAGTGTTTAAAATCAATTTTGTTTTGCCTGTTTATTATCACACTCATGAGACCTGTAGGTCCCAAAGGAAGTGACCCAGGACTCCGGACCCTTTCTGCAGAACTCAACGCATGCGCATTTGCGCTAAAAAGCTCGGTTACCCAATATGGCGTCGTTGTCAGACAGTTTTGTTGTCTTAATTATTGGCATAATTTTAGAAGTATACGAGCAATGCGAGTAGCATTGTTTTACTTTTGCGAGCACAATCTATCAAAGCCTAGTCCTGGAGAACAGGAGGGAGAATGGGGGGAGTGGAAAGTGACAGTGACTATAAGAGTGAATATTAGAGTCGCAAAAAATTGTCTTGGAGGGCTGGACTTTGAGTCTGACGGAAACCCCCAGGGAAACCGCGGGTCCTGTCTCTGGCCATGGTCAACAAGGGTGAAGGACGCAGTCTACACTCTTCGATATTTGGCAGGCAACTCAGTCCTCTTCCTTTTTTCTTTTTCAGTCTTATTTTCAGTGTAACCGTTATATTACTAACGGAGTTGCATGTGGAGGAGATTAAATATATGACTGGTTACGTATGGTAATAACCGGTTGGGTAATCCGGTCGAAGACTAAAAAAAAAGTATGTATTCGCAGAAGTAAAAGAGGGCCTCACTTTACCCTATATTCTTCATGATCATTGATTCCTTCTTAATAAGATGCGACTATAAGCGATTTCTTTGACTCTTGTGTTTCCTCGTGAATTGTCAAGAACCTTGAATTGATCAAATTTGTGGAGCGGGGCATTGGGGTTTACGGTATTTCGGTTAGTATTGCGCTTTTCTTCAAGCGGCATTTTAGTAATTTAAAAACGCGGTATTATTGTACTATGATCACTATAGCCCTGCGGTATGCAGTTTTTCATCCTTTTGGCTGAGCGTATTCAGTAAAAAAGGATCCTCCACGGTTTTTGCGGTATCATTCATTTGCGCTCTCCTGTCTAATTCAGGTCAATACAACAGACATCACGAAACACAAAATCAAATAATTGCGAGTGACCGATCAAAAATGAGGTATCGCTATTTTGTCGATTTTTCATCGCAATATTTCGGTATTTGTCAATTTTTTGACCCCCCCTCCTTCAATGTTTCCCTTTTTTAAGAGTGAATTTAAAAAAAACTATGAAATGTCTACATTATTGTCAACCATACTTAGGAAAGTTTAAATGAGTTTACCCCAGGATACAATAGTGTGGGATATTTTGTGAATGCGCAGGTCAGTCATCTTGGGTTAACTAAATTATTCAAACCAGTTTATTTCAAAAAGGATGAACATACAGTACAAAGAAGTACAGAAGACAGTGTTGAAAGACAAAGAGTCCTCAAGAAGCGCTGCAGCACCATCCTAGAAGAAAACACTAAACTACCTTAAATATCCTATATCATATATTAATGTACAATAGAAATAATTCAATAATTGCTAAAAATCTAAAAAACATTAACTTAAAATCTGCCACAGATGACATGAGAAGACGCTCCTCTGATTTTGATGTGAGAGAAGATTCCATTCTCCAACTTTCCTGTTCACGAAACTAAATTTCACGAAATTAGTCCTTGAATAGCAGGTTGCAAGATTTAAAGTATTCATAACTGTCAGTAAATATCCTCTATTAACTTCGGAAGGCCAGGTTGTTCAAAGCTGGGTTAAGATAACCCAGGTTTAGTGCGAAATTTTAATTCGGAAATGAAAACTTAAAAAGTAAATTCAGTTTAATTCTTTTTGTCAACAAGTTGATGATTATATACTCTTAAAAATAACAGAGAAATTATCCGCAAAAATGCTTTTCAACAAAAGGAAAAGACACCCGGGTTAAATTTAACCCTGGATTAAGCGCTAATCGGCCTTCGAACAACTAGGCCCCCTGATCCCTACAAAATTGAATCCTGAATTCCAGATTGAGGCGGGTATAATATGATCATTAATCATTTTTGTATTATAGAAAAACATCGGAAATAAATCTTCTAACCTCTAAAGACAACAAGCGAAGTTCACGTAGTCCCAACAAGAAACTCTTCATCACTTTTAAGAACACATTTCGTAGCCGTTCTTTAAATTGACTCTATAAAACTCAATACTACCCTCAAAGGGATTCAACACTTTTGAGGCATTTTTAACGCTAGGTATCACAAGACTTCGGTGCAGTGAGCTGTGACATAATTGATTGACATAATTGACATCCCGACACGTCCTTTCGATAAAGACTGTTTTAAAGACTATTTTCCGTACATTAATCATTTCAAGAAAGAGCATTGCTCCCTTTACAGTCGTCCCATGTTTAAGGTAATCCAAGACAGTCTTGGATTCTGGATTTCATGCTGTGGATTTTGAATTTCAGGTACTGGATTCTAAGTTTCAAGTTTCAAGTTTTCAAGTTTATTAAGAAAAATTGAGAAAATACAAAATATGATGTACCACTGCTCGCAGTTAGCTATAGCTATTCGAGGCGAGCAGTGGCTTGACACTAAGTAGAATAATTATAAATCTTTGTCATTGGAACTTGGATTCCGTATTCCAGTCGACGTTACAGGGATTTCAGAAAAAGCCCAGGAATCTCGATCCCATAACTCAAATTTCCCGGATTCCAAATTTCAACAGCCAAAGATTTCCCGGATTCCGGATTCCAAAAGCAAAATTTCCCGGATTCCAGATTCTACAAGCAAGCATTTCACGGATTCCCTTACATCGGGCAATCTATGCGACGAAACCGAATCGAATTTAGTCCCATCAATGTGATAACGGTAACTAAAAAGAGACTAATAATTCTCATAACCTTGCGTATGCTAAACAATTATATGATAAGGTTTTTGTGATATCCGGAATAATCAAAGTCGAGGTAAGTGTTATCAGCCGAGCCGAAGGCCGAGGCTCATACCACTTTCAGAGACCTTGATTATTTAGGATATCACAAAAACCGAATCTATCAATTGTTTTATTATACATTGTTTTGAAGAAAATAACGTCAGGCACACCGTCGCAAGGAACCTGAATATTGATATTGTTAATTGAAATCATGCATTGCGCACGCAGTCTACAGATTAGTTAGTTATCTCCTAGCAGATAACTAACTGAAGGTTGCGCTGATTTCCAAAATTAACTGTGGGCTCTTAGCCAGTGAGAAGACAGATAGTGAGTACAAAGTATAATCGCCCACGCAGGGATTTCGCCCAGAGGCGAAATCCCGAGGAGGCACCCTAGTAGCTCGCGCGTATAGTAAGGACAGTACTTACAGTTCAAATATACAGTCAGTATACTAGAAAAAATCTCAATTTGCTCGAACAGGGGCCGCGAGGAATCGGTAGGTAATGATGACGTTTCTATTGTTTGCGCCCGCAAGTACGAAATGGTTAGGATGACGTAAAGACAGAAAATCCCAAAGGGACTGCTCAGGTAGATTTTGTGACATTTATTGTGCAGTCATACTTCGATACTCTTTTGTGTTAAGCAGTGACATTCTGTGAAGCAGTTGTTTTGAAAGTTATGGACCAAAAGACACTTGTTAAGCGCAGATGAGGTTATAAGGTGCGTTTAACTGTGCATATATAAACACTTGGAGAGTTTGCTAGACGACTCCTAGACACGAGTTCACAAATCTTTGATTTATATTGGAAACCTCGCCAGACACTCTTTCTCTCTCCTTGACCGGAATAAGACTCAGCCCCAGACGAGTGAACAACGGCTAGCTTATCACTAGCAGATTGATGGACAATTACAGAAATTCGCCGACAATCAAATTCTGTGCTGACTTATTCCCTGCTCACAGATGTCCTTCCGTTATAAACTTTCAAATAAGACTAGAATGGGCGAACGTGAACCGATCAAACGTCCTTTTAATTTCTAAGGCTTACTTTCCGGCAAATAAAAGGAACTGAATGTAAAAAATGAAAGAGAAATAGCGAAAAATTCAACTTCTAATTAAATCTTTTCTTATGGTTTAGAGTAAACTATTCTCAAAACTGAGAATGTTTTGATCAAAGCTGTGTAAATCGAGCTGAAACTGTGCATGGAACCTTGCGTTTCCTGTATTTATCTCACCTATTGTATGGAATATGTGTGAAAATTTTCATTATGAATCGGTATATTTCAAAGAGCTACACAACCAGCAAGAATACTATTGACCGACAATATACAGAACGGGGGCAGCTTTAGTGTCAACTATTACTAGTAATAGCATTAATCCTAATCTGATCAGTCCTACACTATCTATTGGTCATATTTAGGTCCTGAAGGAAGCACTCTTCGTTTATCATGAACAAAAAGTATAACCTTGTATTGCTTACTGTCATCATCATAGAGCGCTATCTCATCGCCCTCGGACCCTAAACCAGGCATATATACAACTGCACAACCTATTCTCCAGACAGTCCGTTTTTGAGGACCTTTAAGACAAAACTGTTTATGGCCCGAAAGATTTTCAAGCTTTCTGAAGCGATGCGCGTCAGTCAAAGGTGTCGTTTTGCTCTAATTAACCTTCTGCGTTTTTAGATAAATTGTTGCTGTAGAAGGCTGAACATCTTACTCGGCCTCTAATAGACCAGTAAATAAATCAGTGCTTTATTAATATGAACGTAGGGACTTGAACATAAACATCTCGAGACGCTTTTAGCCCGAACTTCATATTAGTACCTTGCCAATGACGGATTTGAAGTGCCACATCCAAGGTCAGTTTTCAGTTCGTCTAAGGCCCAAGACAAAAATCACTCGATGCCAAAGTTATGCATTTAGAAACGAACTTTTTTCCGCAACGTATGCCTAACTTCAGGCATCTGTTTACAGATTTTGGTAGTATTTCTATTCTTCGTTGAAGGTTGCTGTATACCTATCTTGCTGACCTCATGGTTTACAATTGTTAAAATATCGAGAATGTGTTCATGCGCCACATGCTCACGGAAGGCTTCAACGAAACAGCGAACGTAGTAGGTTCCTTCTTCTTTATTCCTGTACGACATATACTCATCGACTGTGGAAAATGCGTACAGAAAATCTGAATGCGTGGGTATTCTGAGTTGTATCACTGGGTCAACTTTCGTTGATTCATAGCTTCTATTCGCCTGATTAAGAGATGAAATATCGGAATCAGGGGAAACGTTCACTCCTACATCTTCCCCACTACCTCTACATGCTTGGATGAAAAAGAGCTTTGGCTTACCGCTAAGCGTTTTGCACTCGCTGAACAGATCATGAAGAGTGTCAATAAGTATCGTGTCACCGTCAGAGCAGAACACCTCACCGTGACTTTTGCCATGGCTCATTAGCCACAGCACAAAACAATCATAAGCACTGTCATTCTGTTGGCAAATGACATTACTTAGTTTGTCCAAGAGCTCTTTTTTTGAAAGGTTCTGCTCCGTTTGTACTGAAAAATCGAGAGCAGTAAACAACTCTTTAACCCGACTAACATCTACTTCCGACCCGTGACGAGTTGGCTGTTGTCCATGTTCAGGATGACGGTCAAAGTACACGTTATTAATGATCAGCGTTATTCCTCTTGGGTGAGCTGCTGTCATGTTGTAAACGAAGTCTGTACCAGGGTGATAACGCGGACGGACAACTACGCAACGAAAGAGAAAGGTAAAATTAATTCTTGGTTTTCACATGACGTCACCAAAATTCAAACTAAGAAACTATCGCTTCTTCTGAGTGTCTACTTTCATGTGACATTAGAGCACCTTAAAACCTTTATACAAAGAAATTTTTGGTTCAAAAGGGTTCTTGTTTTGCGATACAGGACGCTTAAATTTCCAGGCTTTTTCGTGACGCGGCTGGCGGCCGGCAAAGCTCTTAAGTGGGTTAAAAACATTACGGATTTTTGTAGATTTTGCTATCTAAACATTCCTGGTCTTAGAATAAATATTGCTTTAATCTTTATGAGTTCCTGAAGAGAAGAATTCACGCGCAAAACTCAAAAACAGAGACTGATGTTTCTGTTGGTTTCCGGCGGCCGTATTTCAGGGGCACCCAACGGCAATTTTCGGGAAAACATCTGTTCGGAAGACGATTTGAGATCTAGAATTTTCGGAGCATTTGTTGTAAAATTTCTTGCTTGCCTGCCTCTCCTAGGATTTTCGAACATCTACAAGATGGTATAATTACCCATTTTTAACGGATTTTGACCCTAAAAAAGGCCACCTAGAATTTTCGGGAGCCTTTTCCTGGCTGAAATTTTCTAGAAAATATGTTTTTATCCCTATAATTTTCGGATCACTAGACTTTCAGCTAGGAAATCCGAACAGATGAAAAGTTTTTAGGGGATAAAAATATGCCTATATCTACCCTTTGAATACTAAAATACGCTCAACAATGCTATGTTAAGTGGTTTTGAACTACATCCTCGTTGGGTGCCCCTGGTATTTGTGCCCCTGAAAGGGACAAAAACATGGCGTCTCCATACAAAGCTTTATAAATTTGTGTAAAACGTTTTGCCGAATATCTCGCATATGAACTATTGAATAGACCTGATTCTTGGCAAGGCTTTTTGTATATTTATCTTCTTTCATTTCCGAGGTTTTAGACTTTCTGTATTAAAAGGTTTCCACTTTTATTTCTGCTTTTTCACGTTAGTGAAAACCGAGAATATATCTCTACTGTCCATTCCTGACCTAGCTTTAAATTAAATATATATAAACAAAAACTATGGTGCCTTACACTATATCAATTAGGGTTAAAACTGAATGATATTTACCGGTTATTTTAAAGAGTCGAGAATGGCAAATATATAGTTAGCGCGCCTATACTTAAGTGTCATTGTCTGAGAAAGTGTTCCAGGGGCCAAAAGTTGTGGTCAACCGAATTGGCTGAAACTTGGCACAGAAGTTGGGTGTGATGAGATATTTCAAAAGCCACTTTGGCTCACTTCTCTGACTTCTATTTTTGGAGTTACAGGGGGGTCTCATTTTTTGCCCTTTGAGCACCAAAAATCCAGCCTTCCAGGGGGCATTTTGAAAGTGTGATAAGACCCCACTGGTAAATTGTGCTGCCAAATGAATTTGACCATGAACTTTACTATAACAGAGCTTTCCGTTCATGCATGTAACTTTGTCCTCAAGGTGTTGCACAGAGAGGAGCCTGGGGCTAGAGTTTGGTCAAAATTGATGTTAAAATTACAACCCCAAAATAGCCATTTTTCAAAATTTCACTATATTCACCTGCCCTCTTGAATAACTTCCATACCCATATCACTGTTTACTTTTGTCACCCAATTATCAAAATCAGTTGAGAAAAATTTGTCTTATTATGGTTTATTGAATTTTTGAAACAAACACTTCATGCCCCTCTAAGGCGATGCAAAATGGACTTTTGAGCATACTTCAGGTCATAAACCAACCAAATTGTTGACAAGCAGCCCTTATTCTGTAGTTGGTAAGTGAAAATGAATGGTCAAAGCCAAATCAGTTTCATTGTTTAGAAATACACCGATTCTTACCTTTAAATTGGTGTAAAACGGACCTCTGATTAGCACAAAAACACGTGATTTAGCAAAACAAAGGTGATTTTATTCTTTGAAAACCTAGCAACCACCATGGGAACACAAATGATGATGTTCTGACATAGATATAACGACCTTTTTGCAAGATGCCTAAATTTTTCTTTGATTTATATTCAGTTTCACCACAGGTGGCCCAAGCATAATATGGGCCACCTGTGGCATAATATGAGAGTTTGTATGGGAAAAATAGAGTCTGAAACTTAGATGAAATAAATGAAGGAAAAGCGATAAAAGTTATCAATAAAGTGTAAATATTGTTACCTGGAGTCATTGTCAGCTCGATTTGAGTACTTTTACATCATCTGACCGGACATTTATTTCATCTAAGTTTCAAACTCTATTTTTCCCATACAAACTCTCATATTACGCCACAGGTGGCCCATATTACGCTTGGACCACCTATGGCTTCACGTCATATTTCTAAGCATTACTCCAAGTCTCCATACTTTGCCAGGCCCATTTTTAAAATATTTTTACCAGATAAATTTAGCTTATCAAAAGGTTCTCTAACATATATTCTTCGTCTGACCTTGTAGTAGCCTGAATAGTTGTTGTAAATACCCATCAGCAAAGGCGTATGACCATACATACGTAGATTATACAAACATATACGAGCTTCAGTGAGCGGTATCGAGGTGAACTGTCATTTTCCGAGTCCTTTAGAGATGAAAAAATGAAACCATCCATCCACAGTTAGGAGAGCTGGATAACAAAAAGCTTGTTTTGCTTTTATAAAGAGAACAACCCAAACAAATCCTTGCATTGAGATGATGCAATTGTTATTACATCGAGTTAGCCGGCCTGCAATTTTGGAGTGTGGGGACTGGACGGAGTTCCCGTCCAATCCTTCTCCTTTCCGCGGGAATTTGTTGTGTCTTTTCATCAGGGCCAAGTTGTTCAAAGCAGGGTTAAGATATCCCAGGGTTAGCGCGAGATTTGAATTCAGATTTGAAAGCTTAAAACGCATTTCAGTTTTAATTCTTTTTGTCTACAAGTTGATGATTAGAAGCTCTAAAAATAGCGGAGAAAATTATCCAAGAAAATGCTTTTAAACACCATAAAAACAAACACGGGTTAAATTTAACCCCAGGGTAAGCGCTAATCGGCCTTCGAACGACTGGGTCCTTGCGTGTACGAAATTCTAGAAAGCGATCAGTTTCAGTATAATTTTTCGATTCCTTTAGAGGGTTAAATGACCAGTGCAGTGTCACGTCTTGGGCTGTGCAAGAAACAGGAATGCTTCCTTTGTTGTCTTGCGATAGCGGCATGACTGCATGGTTAAAGCACAAGTAGAAGGGTTCAAGTGTGTCCGGAGAAGAAGAGGAAGATCTGGTGATACCAAAGCTACAGGTGATACAAAAGATCAGTTAGGGATCATACACGCGCACAAATGGCTCTTATCGCGGTTTACCGAACACTTCTGCTTGAAGAAAGACGATGATATATAATTTACGATATTGTTGTCTCAGATTGTTCGTTTATGGTTGATTGATTCCCATGTTAATTTCCTAGGTACTTAGGGACTTGTCAGAAATTAGCAGGAGGAAATGGGGGGTGGAAACAGAGGGAGGGTCACAACTTTTTGAGAAAAATGGGCCTTTAAATGGGACAGGGTCATGCAAATGTATGCCCGTGATCATATAGAGGTTCACCCACAGAAGAAAAAAGAAGTTCTTTATTTGGTAAAAAAAAAAACTTGGGAGAAATAGGAGAGTCGAGTGATCAGCTGTCAGAATCAGAGTCGGACTCTTAATGCTGTCATCTAAAATGTATGTATATAGCATTACAAAGAACAGATTAGAAATATATTTTGAGTTTTCATAGTACTGACTCACCCTAGTGTATTGCAAGAACTAGATTTTATCATTTATACAAGAGGGGAAGGGTCATGATATCTTAAGTCAAGTCCAAGGGGAGGGTTAGCAAATTTCATGCCCATTGCAGGGATGGGTCACCTCATTTCCGAACCCAAATTTAAAATGCCCACCTCCCCCTCCTCCCCCCCTGCCAGCTAATTTCTGACAAGTCCCCTAGGAAGAGCACTAAACAAATTTGTCAAAAAAAAAAGACAAGTACGATAAGAATAACTTGAAGGCTGTTTTTTGTCTGCTTGAGCTGTTTGTTTACATTCAGCATTTCACGTGCACACGCTTATCATGCAATGCACAATTCAGTTACTGGTTTCCATTATTTACCCTTTTCATCGAAGATCTTTGAAAACATGCTACATCTAAGTTTTTCGATGAAATTGACATTTTCAGCGAGAAAATGTCATTAAAAAACGCCATCGCAAAATCAACCAAATTAGTTGCTATTTTTGGATTTGCTTGGAATAAAGCATAGGCAATGAACACACATATGTCGTACTTGAATGGGAACTGACTCTGAATTGTTCTGGAAGAGCACTGAAGATTCGTGTATATTTGTACAAAAAATTGTTTCATTATTTAATTAAAAAATTATTTAAAATAATGTTAACTATTGAATTAAAAATTTAATGAGAAAATATAGAAAAATAAGAACGTTTTTTCAACGTTTTTGCCTGTGAAATGTTGCCAAAATTCGGTTGACTGTTCAAACTGCTATTCAGTATTCACCTAGATATATTGCTATTCAAGTTCTAGTATTTTACAATTTTTTCTAATATTCTTGAGATTTTCTAAAATTCTTTTCGTTGTCTAAGATTCCCAAAACAATTCCTGCGGAATTATGTAGCTAGGCCTATTTTAAGTTCACTTGTCTTCGACGAAACAGGCAAATAAAGGAGACCGGTCGAGTTTCAATGAAAGCCGGCTCGAAATTGTGCATTGCCAAACTTAGCATTACTTTATAACCGTGTCCATGCGACAAGCTGAATGTAAAGAAACAGCTCGAGCAGACAAAAAACAGCCTTCAAGTTATTCCTATTGTTGTTGTTGTTTCTTTTAATAAAGATATTGCTGCGATGAGTTTGTTGAATGTTTAGTGCTCTTCGTAAGGACCCAGGAAATTAACAAGGGAATCAATCAACCATAAACAAACAATTTAAGACAACAATATCGTAACTCATATATCATCGTCTCTCTTCAAGTAAAGGAGTCCCGTAAACCGCGATAAGAGCCATTTGTGCGCGTGTATCATCCCTAACTGATCTTTTAAATTACCTGCAGCTTTGGCATCACCAGGTCTTCCTCTTCTTCCCCGGACACACTTGAACCTTTCTACTTGTGCTTTAACCATGCAGCCATGCCGCTATCGCAAGATAACAAAGGAAGCATTCCTGTTTCTTGCACAGCCCACGACGTGACACTGCACTTTATTCACCCCTCCAAAGGAATAAAATGCCATCGTAAAATCATCCTGAAACAGATCACCTCCTAGAACTTCGAACACACCTGATGTAAAACACAAGAAAATTCCCGCGAAACAGGAGAAGGATTGGACGGGAACTCGGTCCAGTCCCCACACCCTCCAAGTCCAAAATGGCGGCTAGTTAATTTGATATAATAACAATTGCATCATCTAAATGCAAGGCTTTGTTTGGGTTATTTTCCTTAAAAAAGCAACAAAAGCTTTTTGTTATCCAGCTCTCCTAACTGTGGAGGGATGGTTTCATTTTTTCATCTCTAAAGGACTCGGACAATCACAGTTCACCTCGATACTGCTCACTGATTCTCGTATATGTTTGTATAATCTATGTACGTATGGTCATGCTCCTTTGCTAATGGGTATTTACAACAACTATTCAGGATATTACAAGGTCCGACGAAGATTATCTGTTAACAAACCTTTTCATAAGCTACATTTATCTGGTGAAAATATAAAAAAATGGGCCTGACAAAATATGGAGACTTCACATGCTTGGAGTAATGCTTAGAAATATGACATTAAACTGAATATAAATCAAAGAAAAATTTAAGCATCTTGTAAAAAGGTCGTCATATCTATGTCAGAACATCATCATTTGTGTTCCCATGGTGGTTGCTAGGTTTTCAAAGAATAAAATCACCTTTGTTTTGCTAAATCATGTGTTTTTTGTGCTAACCAGAGGCCCGTTTTAGATCAATCTAAAGGTAATAATCGGTGTATTTCTAAACAACGAAACTGATTTGGCTTTGAAAATTCATTTTCATTTACCAAATACACAATTAGGGCTTCTTGTCAACAATTTGGTTTGTTTATGGCCTGAATTATGCTCAACATTCCATTTTGCATCGCCTTAGAGGGGCATGAAGTATTTGTTTCAAAAATTCAATAAACCATAATAAGACAAATTTTTCTCAACTGATTTTGTTAATTGGGTGACTAAAGTTAACAATTAGTTCATGCGTCAGCGTGCGTATGTCGAGATATTGAGCACGCGGGAAGTTTGGAGAGCACGAAAGAGGCGTAAGAGTTGCACGAGGCGCAGCCGAGTGCAACTCTAGCCTCTTGAGTGCTCTCCAAACTTCCCAAGTGCTCAATATCTCGACATACGCACAGCTGCAGCATGAACTAATTGTTTTATAACATTATCAAAGCGATCAATGCACCAGTTAACTTAAAATTTTATTATTGTAGGGCGCGCTCAAAGCAGTACGCGTCAATGTTTACGTGAGTATATTTTTTTCCTCACAGTTAAGCTTATGTTTTTATCCTGAAACTGAGAGAAAGTGAACTCTAAAATGATTGTAAAATCTATATTTAGGTGCCGGAAGACTATTAATTCACCGAAAAATTGTTATTGAGAGAAAACAACTTTGCAAAGAATGATCTCACGCCATAGTCTGCACAGCTCGCGGAGATGACAACAACAACAACAACAGCACTCACCTCTTTTCCTTACTATCGGTTAACAAATTCAAACGTTTCCTCTTAAATTTCCTTATAAAACACATGGTAAACTTTTTATCGTGTACTGCCGAGTTATGGATGCACTCATGAGACTCAGGATTGCTAAGCTCACAACAACTCGAGGAATTACGAATAGTTTATTGACGTCATCAGCGTGCTCAATAGGAATATGAAGCACGCTCGCGCTATTGAATTTGATTAGGCGAATTTTCTAGCTATGTTATAATAAACAGTGGAATAGGTATGGAAGTTATGCAAGAAGGCAGGTGAATATAGTGAAATGTTGAAAAATGGCTATTTTGGGTTGTAGTTTTAACATCAATTTTGACCAAACTCTAGCCCCAGGCTCCTCTCTGTGCAACACCTTGAGGACAAAGTTACATGCATGAACTGAAAGATCTATTATAGTAGAGTTCATGGTCAAATTCATTTGGCAGCACAATTTACCAGTGGGGTCTTATCACACTTTCAAAATGCCCCCTGGAAGGCTGGATTTTTGGTGCTCAAAGGGCAAACAATGAGACCCCCCCTGTAACTCCAAAACTAAAAGTCAAAGAAGTGAGCCAAAGTGGCTTTTGAAATATCTCATCACACCGAACGTCTGTGTCAAGTTTCAGCCAAATCGGTTGACCACAACTTTTGGCTCCTGGAACACTTTCTCAGACAATGACACTTAAGGATTATACACTGGCAACTGTGAACATTGAGATAAAAACTTGAAAAACGGTAATGCATTAACAAAGAAGCAACAGACACCCCGTTCGACCACTTTTTTTCGCCCAAACAAAACGTCCAGCCATACAGTTAATCTTAAACGTCGTTAATACAGCCGCGCTGTTATTACGATCGCGACCAACGGCCACTTCTTGTAGTTTCCAGTCGTTATTCGGCACTCTCTAGAAACGAGAAAGATGAAAGAAGAGGGGACTGGAACAACACAACTGTTTCTGTGATCCCTATAGGAGACGCACTGATCAGCTTTTGGCCAATTTTTTTCCCTGTCACTAGTAAAAGCCCCAGAAATCTTTGCGAATGTTAACTTTGCACAGTTTCCCTGTCGTTTCTAGAGTGGCAAATGTTTACCCTCTAACACGACCGGTCGGATGCCTTGTGTCTGGCAGGCAATTGAATTGTAGAAAAAGACAAAACTGTACAACGTTTCATGAAGGAACAGGAATTGGAAATAGCAATTTTATCACTGTTGACTATCACATTCGACCGAAGTGACTATAAAAAGTGATATCTCTACCTAAATTTGTAAAAGTACCATTAGGCATGACGAGATCTAACCTTTGCCTGCAAACCATTTCTCCAGTCCTTCAACCGTCCTTTCTTTAACGCCGAGGGTTTTTGGACAGTGTTTGAGTTTACCTTCTTCGAGAATTTCAAGAAAGCACAGGCAATCCTCATGGTCACAGGAAATCACATCGTGAATACAACACGCGTCTTCCTTCTGTAGACAGTCAGGACATACGACACAAAAATCACAGTCAAAGCTGCTCAACCAAGGGAGCTCACGTCTAAGGTTCTTTACTGTTTCTTCCAGGAACGTTCGCACAAGAAACGCCACTTCTCTTGTTTCGGAGAATGATGCTCCGTGGAATGGCTGGGAATGTGTCAAAATGACCTTGATGAATCTCTTTTTGCACAAGAAAATCAGCTGATGAGAGAACTCCTTCTTTATGATAAACTCAGCTGCCGCAAGGAAAACTTTCGGCGCCTGCGCATGCTTGAATTTACTCTCAGAGCACCATTTTGAGCATCGTGACACCAACTGCCAGAAGAAACCATGAGGAACATACCCTCCCCAAAAGTGAAGATATAATGGACATGGATCTGATTGTGATAACTCCATCTCAAACTTGGTCTTAAATGGTGTCTCCAGTTGACAGGGTACCACAAAGCACTTTTTAATTTCATTTGTTGGCGAGGTCGAGGTTATAATCTTTACGATCAATCCAAACTGCTCCATCATGCTCAGGATATCCTCCTTGATCAGGCCTTGCTGCTGGCAGTGCTTGGAGAACACGTGATCAACCAGCTCCATGTGGAGGACACCTTTCGTCTGCATTTCTTTCCATAGCTTGCCTGGTACAGCTTCCTAGCAAAAACCGAACGAAACCGTTCGTTTTCTGTTACTAAGACCACTAACAAATTGCCTCACACTTATCAGTTAATTATTTAAGGATCTTTACCTTTTTCTTGAGTGCTACTACAAACAAGATAAAGGAAATCATTTTGAATGGCAACCCTGATACCTTACAAATTATTAACATAAGAACGGATTACCTTACTTTCACTTAATTTCTCGAGTGTGTAATTTCGAGAAAAATCATGAGCTATACTTTCGCGAGTATTAATTTATGGATTTTTTAGGATTTTTAGGCATTTTTAATAAGATTTGGCAAACGGAATCCATCGGGAATTGAGTAATCTCAATTTTCAATGGACAAAAGCCTTGTACAAGAATAATTTAAAACATATTGCATTATTTTTTATATTTTTAAGGGCTAATGATGTAATTAGTCATCTTTAATAACACAAAAGAAAATTTCTTATGGGAGCCCGAGAAAACAAATTTCAAATTTCACAAAATGACATCTTATGCATGAATTTTTCAGAATTTTACCTGTGTTTTCGGCACAATCCTTGTGAAATTTGATATTCAATTCAATTATTCTGGTACAAGGTTTTTGTCCTCTAAAAGTTAAAATTACTCAATTTTGGCCCGGTGGATTCCGTCTTTTAAAATTTCGCGATTTTTCCATTCCGCGAAAATCGCGAAACTTACTACTCGACTTGGGTAATTAAGTGAGAATAGGGTTGTATCGGCTGGGTTCCCTGTTTCGTTTGTTTTCCCGCACTTAGAGGTCATGTGACTTTGTTGTTTAGTTGCCTTTTGATACGTTTCCGCGAGTGTTTGCAGCTTGGGCATTCACTCGAAGTAACGACCAAAATTGATCGGTTTCGACGCATTGACGACTGTATTGTTTGGAACATTGTCTTCGTGTATTGTCACGATTCAAGATTGTAGCCGTCCTTGCAGTATTGGAAATAAAGGTCCGTAAACAAGAGTGAATTTCGTCGCTACAGTTACTTCGAACGCCGAGCTGCATTCAGATGATTTGTTGGCCTACGAGCACCGTTCTCAGACTATTTGTCCTATCTTATTGTGAATATTGGTATTTTGAGTCCTGGTAATAATATTTGGCGGGCAACACTGGCCGTGAGTACTTTCTATGTTTGTATACAAGGGTTTTTGATCCCTTTTTGTTTTGTGATGTCGGTTTGGGATCTTTCGAGCGATGATGGCCGAGATACGGCCCTCGATCTCACAAAAACTCCGGATTTGACACTTTGTGAACCTCAAGCCTTCTCTACCGCAATGGAAAACGAAAACAAGGAGTCTGGTTACGCTACAAAGCCGAACGAAACGACAAACTCGCCGCCTCTGGACGAAAACGCATGTGTTTCAGAGGAAATGTGGAATGGACAAGGGAACGCGGAATTGGATCAGACCTTTATCGATAAGAGACCTCGGAAACTAACTGAAAAGGGCAAAGGCTATCGCCTCGTGCAAAGGAAAGGAGAAAGAAATAAACTTAAACGAAAAATACAATCTCAGATTGCTAACATCAGCACGCTGTTGAGCCATGATAAGAACCTTGAGTTAATCAGTGATTTGTCTATTAAACTAAATGATCTGTTTGAGCAGTTTGGTGATCTACACGAAGAAATACAAGAACTTCTTACAAAGGAGGAACAAATTACGGACTCTCAGAATTATGATGACTTGTACCAAGAAATTAGACTCATTCGTGAAACAGTACAGAAGTGGATGATCGATGCCAATCAGCGGATTAGAGATGAGAAAATTGAAAGGGGTTCTGCCAAGAGCATCAAATCAAAGGGCTCTAGGTCCTCGAAGTTGTCAACCACACCCTCAAGGGCGAAGGCTCTCGAAGCCAAGGCAAGGCAGGCTGAGTTAGAGGCAAGGATCGCACAAGTTGATCAAGTCGAGGCTGCGAAGAAGGAAGCAGAAAGAGCAAAACTAATGGCTCAACGTGCAGCTGTGGCCGCTGTCAACAAAGTGTATGAAGACGCTATGAAGGAGGATGACGAACAATATTTGGGCTCGGATGATCCTGACATCAATGATACAGCTGCCGACGATCAGCCTAAACCAAAGAAGTCTTCGCAGACCACTGATCTTATACAAACCATAGATGAATCCAGAAATTTGAGGAAAACTGAAGCAGAAATTAAGCATTTGAATGACCCTGCCGAGAATCAGCTGGAATCTATAAGCGCTTTAGACCCTAAGGCACCGGAATTTGCGTTGCCCTCTGTACCCTTACAATCGGAACGTGTTGTTAACAATGGTAGTGCAGCATACTGCAACCCCATGGTAACGAATTGCAATGCCGAAGTGACCAGTCTTGTACCACCAGCGGCCTTCTGGGAAAAGATGGAATTAAGAATGACGCAACCCCCGCCTGTACCCGCTCCGTTTGATGGAGATCCATCCCGCTACCTTCGTTTCAGAGCTGACTTTAGAGATCAAGTCGAGAGCAGAGCATCGTTGACTGATAGCGAGAAAATGAATTATTTAATGACTTACACAGCTGGTAAAGCAAGGAAAGTCATCGAAAACTATCGGGGTCTACCAAATGGTTGTCACATCGCTCTGCAAATGTTAAGGCAGAGATTTGGACAAAATGCAATGGTAGTGGAGGCCCTCAAGTCGTCAGTGGTAAATGGCCCAAAGTTAAAGAATGGTGACAGTGCAGCCCTTCTAGCTCTTTCCGATAAAGTGCAAAATTGTCGCTGGGCAATGATTGAACTGCAATCAAAGGAACTTGACTGTACTACGAACTTACGGCAAATCTATGATCGTCTACCGTACCCCTTGCAGGCGAAATGGAGAAGGTCAGCCAAGCAGTACCGTGAAAGAACTGGTGGTGGAGAGCCGACGCTCAAGGAACTTTCGGAGTTCATAACTGCCGAGTCGCAAACTGAGAATGACCCAGTCTACGGAAGACCTAGTACCCTTGCAATAAGGGCTAACACCGGCAGAAACTTCAAAAAACCTCTTCCCACATCAGGACAGCCTGGAGAAACACATATTCCCACCTTGTCGACAGAGATTAAAACAAAGGAGACCAATACTCCCCAAGAGGACAAGGCCCTACCTGCAAAGGTAGAACATGTTCGTCGGGTTGAAAGAGGCGAAGAAGAGGGGTGTCAGGTTTGCAAGGGAAGGCATGTGTTTCAGAATGTTCAGCGTTCGCAAAGAAGGGTTTGAATTGGCGCCGGCGTTTTGCAAGATCCAGTGCACTATGTTACCGGTGTTTGTCCAGTTGTCATATGATAAAGACATGTCCAAAAACTAAGGGTTGTGATGTGAAGAGCTGCCCTCAGCCATCGACCCACCATTCCCTACTACATCTACCCACAGCAACTTCTGACGCCAATAAGGGTGAGGAGAGCGTTAATCGTAGCGCTACTCCCAGTGAGGACTTAACCGTAAGCGTAACTATGGAAGACTCAAAACGAAGCTTTGTGCTACTCAAGGTGGTACCGCTGTCCATCGTGGGTGAAAACGGAACTATGGTCACTTCGTACGGCCTTTTAGACTCAGCGGCTGTCAGTTCCTTGATTACGTCGGACCTAGCTGAACGATTGCAACTTCATGGAACTCCCGAGAAAGTGAGCATTAACACTGTAACACACAAGAATCATGACTGTGAACTCATCAGAGTTAAATTTCTGATACGCCCATTGAGACGAGATGGGCCCTTGTACTCAATACCTCATGCCTTGGCCATACAGGACTTGAACGTTAGTGACCGGTATTGTCCGAACCAAGTAGATTTAACACAATGGCCACATCTTGCACATTTAGAACTGCCGAATATTCCTGTGGATGTTCCGAAGGTTTCAGTTCTCATTGGCCAGGATGTGCCTCAGGCGCACATAGTTCTCGATTACCGCTGGGGAGATAGCCCACAGAACCAGCCATACGCAATGAGAACTCCATTTGGATGGTGCGTAGCTGGGCCCACAAACAAGGGGGAAGATAATAGCAAGCCAGTTGCCCTTTCTGTATTCGAGTTTGACGTTACCAAGGAAGGGTCGGTCATGGGACTTCACCAGCAAGTTGAGAGGTTTTGGGACTCTGAATCAAACGGATTTGGAAATGTTGGTGACAGTTGCGACAGCCGTGAGGACAGAAGGGCCCTTGAAATATTGAACAACACCACTAAATTAAAGAACGGGAGGTATGAGGTCGGTCTCCTTTGGCGAAATAGCGACCCTCAGCTTCCAAACAACCGGTCCTTAGCAGAAAGGAGGTTACAGCAACTGAAGAGACGGTTTGACCGAAGTCCAGAATTCGCCAAGCAATACGAGACAGTGATGAACGACTATATTGCAAAGGGGTATGCTGTGAAGTTGTCCCCTGAGGAAGCCGCCCACACGAGTAAATGCACATGATATTTACCACACCAGGGTGTAATTAACCTGAATAAAGCAAAGGTCCGAGTGGTGTACGATGTGGCCGCAGAATTTGGCGGGACATCCCTGAATAAAGAACTGCTACAAGGACCACAGCTGAACAATTCTCTCGTTGGAGTTCTGATCCGATTCAGAAAAGAGGACGTAGCCATAGCCTCTGATATCGAGAGCATGTTTCACAGAGTAGTCTGCAGGGAGGAGGATACAGATGCCCTACGGTTCTTATGGTGGAGTAAAGGCGTCGATAAGCCACCGAGTGATCACAAAATGAATGTCCATTTGTTTGGAAAGACAGACTCTCCATCGATTGCAGCCTGGGCTTTAAAACGAACAGCTGCAGACAATGAATCCGAGTTTAGCAAGGAAGTGTGCGCTATTGTCTCCAAGAATTTCTATGTAGATGATGGATTGTTTTCTGTGCCTACCACTGAACGGGCAATTGATGCTTCACTGCAGTTGATGGAGTTGTTGCAAAGAGGGAACTTTCGGTTGACAAAGTTCGTGTCCAACGTCAAGCAAGTATTAGCTGCTATCCCAGCTGGGGAAAGGACGGTTAAAAACCTGGATTTGGACAAGCTTCCTATCGAAAGAGCGCTGGGTCAGCAGTGGGATACCGAGAACGACTCGTTGGGAGTGAAGGTGTCACCTTTACCGAAGAAGTTAAATGACGTCACGAGGCGAGGGTGTTTGTCAACCATGAGCTCCACGTTCGATCCGCTGGGCATGATTGGACCGGTTTTGCTCCAAGCTAAGAGAGTCCTCCAAAGGACCTGGCAGCTTAAACTTCAATGGGACGAGAAATTGCAAGACGACTTGCTGAGAAGCTGGACAAAGTGGAGAGAGCAGTTGGAGCTCCTCAATCAAGTCAATATTCCTCGTTGTTACTTCCCTGGAGGCTACCATGCTGATAAATCATTCCAGTTACATCACTTCAGTGATGCCTCTGAATTTGGTTATGGGACAGAGTCCTATTTGAGAAGAGAAACATGGGATGGAATGGTGAATTGTTCATTTATCATGGCCAAAAGCCGGACGGCTCCTCTTCAGTACGTTTCTGTCCCGAGGCTCGAGTTACAGGCTGTTACGATAGCAGCAAGAGTTCACAGTATGATCATAAGGGAAATAGACTTGAATATTTCTTCTACCTTCTTCTGGACAGATTCCCAGATCACGTTGCAGTACATCAGAAACGAGTCCCGTAGATTCAAGACCTATGTAGCAAACCGTGTATGTGAAATAAGGCAAGTTTCCGAGCCGACCCAGTGGAGACATTGTCCAGGAAACCTAAACCCGGCAGATGATGCATCTCGTGGGCTTTCAGCTCAACAGCTTTTGAGCAGCGATAGGTGGTTCGCTGGCCCAGCCTTTTTATCCCAGCCAGAGGCAGAGTGGCCGACCACTGAAGTTGGCGATCTACCAGAGAACAACTTAGAAGTCAAGGTGGAAAAAGCTATATTCACTTTGCAGTCACCCAATAGCATGCACGAATTTCTTGTAAGGTATTCTTCCTGGTCAGTGCTGTTGCGAAAGATAGCCTGGTTGTTAAAATTCAAGTCATATCTAAAGAAAGATAGAGACAGCAGCAGTTCAAAGTACTTAACGACAGATGACCTACAGAAGGCTACAACTGCTGTAGTAAGGTTGGTGCAGAGTGAGGCGTATGCCGATGAGATAGGCGACTTGGAAAAGGGAAAGAATGTCAAACATTCAAGCAGAATTGTCAAGCTTCGGCCAATGTTGGATAATGGAGTAATGCGAGTTGGAGGACGCATTTCTGAAGCTGCCATTGCCTTTGGAGCCAAGTTCCCAATGATCATGCCGCCAGGGCATCACGTCACCCAGTTGCTTATTGCAGCCTTCCACCAACGGCTAGCGCATGCTGGTCAGAACCACATACTGGCAAGTTTAAGGGAGCAGTTTTGGATACCTCGAGGGAGGTCTGCTGTGCGTAAAGTAGTACGATCCTGTTTAAAGTGCAAGAAGCAAAGGGCAGCCACTATGGAGCAGATGATGGCCACTCTACCAGCGTTTCGTACTACGGCTTATCAACCATGCTTCACTCACACTGGCGTCGACTATTTTGGACCGTTAAACGTGAAAAGAGGGAGAGCCGTGGTCAAGAGATGGGGTGTCATATTCACCCGTTTGAATTCCAGGGCCGTGCATCTGGAACTAGCTACTTCTCTAGAGTCAGACTGCTTCATCAATGTTCTAAGAAGATTCATGAATCGAAGAGGCCCACCCAAGTGTATTTACTCGGACAATGGGACAAACTTTGTCGGTGCAGAAAGGGAAGTTAGAGAAGCGATAGAAGACTGGAACCAGAAACAGATCTTGGATGAACTACTTCAGAAGGGATGTCAGTGGGCGTTCCAACCGCCAAAGGCTTCACATGCTAGCGGAGTCTGGGAGAGACTAATACGTAGTACCCGCACAGCCATCAAGGCCATACTCGGTGAGAGCCTAGTGAACGAAGAAGTATTAACAACCGTCTTAACAGAAGTTGAGGCTATTCTGAATTCTAGACCACTTTGCGCTGCGTCCGATGACCCAAATGATTGTGAACCCTTGACTCCTAACCACCTGCTGCTGCAGAGGGCTGTTCATGTTTTACCTCCTGAAGTCTTCGTAAGAGAGGACATATTTGCTAGGAGGATGTGGAGACAGGCACAAGTTCTAGCTGATCATTTCTGGAAGCGATGGCTAAGGGAGTACATCTCAGGTTTACAGGAGAGACAGAAGTGGCAGCGACCCCGTCGGAATGCTGAGATTGGAGACCTTGTGCTACTAGTGGACGACTGCTTGCCTAGAGGACAGTGGCGTATGGGTCGAGTCATTAAAGCAGTTCCCGGAAGAGATGGACTTGTCCGGACAGTAGTTGTGAAAACGGGCGCGTCAACCACATTAGTACGTCCTATACAGAAACTTTGTTTGCTGGAAGAGTCAGGAAATCTCCAACGATATTAGAGACAGACAAGTATAGGAACAGTGACACTGATATTGATTGACATTCCTTTATTACTTGAACTTAGCAGGCGTGGGAACCCATGCCTAGTTTGTGTTTGTAATGCTTCACTAAGTTCGCATGGGGTGGGGTGTAGCGGCTGGGTTCCCCGTTTCGTTTGTTTTCCCGCCTTTAGAGGTCATGTGACTTTGTTTATTAGTTGCCTTTTGATACGTTTCAGCGAGTGTTTGCAGCTTGGGCATTCACTCGAAGTAACGACCAAAATTGATCGGTTTCGACGCATTGACGACTGTATTGTTTGGAACATTGTCTTCGTGTATTGTCACGATTCAAGATTGTAGCCGTCCTTGCAGTATTGGAAATAAAGGTCCGTAAACAAGAGTGAATTTCGTCGCTACAAAGGTAGCTAAATATTTTTGGCATTGCAGTATGCTCCTTAAGAGAAAGGTACCTGTCTAAACTAAAGCGCCGTGCAAACAGACGCAACATTGTTGGATGTTACATGTTGCGTCCGTTTGCACACCCCGTTGCATGTTGTTGGATGTTGTTGCGTGTTGTTGCGCAAAGTTTGAAACCGGTCCAACTTTTCAGTTGGATCTGTTTGCACATCTCTTCCAACATTGTTGGGGCCACGCAGACTCATTAAGCATGGATTACATTACGGGTTGTGTTCTTCCCACGATACACTGCAGGTCCCAAACTTGTTGGCAGTTGTTGCATCCGTTTGCACACCACTGCCAACACGCACGCAACAACTCCCAACATTGTTGGCACAACAATGTTGGGAGTTGTTGCGCCTGTGTGCACGCAGCCTAAGAGGTAGGATGAAGATTCAAAGGTACATTTACAAAACACTCCACTGGAATACCATCAACCTCGTCCCCAGGACTTTTCCCTTAGAAAGGGGGAAGGAAGAGGAAGGGAAGAAAAAAGCCTTTTTACACGCGTCCCTCCCATGAACGGGGATAAAACATAGTCAGTATGGCCCAGGCAAACTGAAATAGGCTCTAGGTTATTATAATTTTTACTTTCCCAAAGAACCAAGTTTGACTACAACTCAGTAAAAGAAAAACACTTCATAGAAAAAAATGTACACTGTACTCTACTCAGGGCGAAAACTAGCAAGCACGTTGACCACATCCTTTCAAATAGAATGCCTTTTGAGAACAACCCATAAAGCAGTAACGGCAGAATTCAATACTCCCAGGACAATGTATGCCTTTGAAGCTGTTTGAGCAGTGTCAGATTTCCCTCAGTCAGCACCGTCAAGTCTAGAAATTTTCGCGCGATAAAACACTGCTGTTCGTGCTTTAAAAGTTGCAAAAGAAGGATTAATGCTACTCTGCTAAGGTAAGCTACCAAATTGCGTCTCACGACGAAACTTATAACGGTTTAAGAGCGGCCAAATACTTTTGATTTAAAGAGTCAATCAAGCCTACCTATTTCACAAGAAGGGTAGCCTTATCTATAAATGTTACACTGCTAAATTTGCAGAAGCTGGCGGGATTCAAGTGGATAAATAGCAGTGGCTTTGTCACATGGCAGAAAATTGGAGTAGGAACCATTTATCACGTTGATCGGCCTAATCGACCGAACTTAGACTGCAACGTTCTGCCCGGTCGGTCATTGTGCTGCTTTATAGGTTGAGTGCAGTTTTGTGATAATTATGCACTTATATATTTTTTCTTACCCTTTCATTAAAAGAAGGAATGGTTATAAGCTGTTTGAAGACATTAATTAGCCATTGACGCCAAAGCACAACTGTGCCGCGGTGCTTGACAATTATGCCGAGGTCATGATAGAAGTCCAACATAGTGGCAAACTCATCCTCGTCTTCAATGAAACAAACTTTCTGAATAATACTTAGATGTTTTACGAAGTTTAAACAATTTATTTTCTTGGCAGTCAAAGCTTGGACAACCTTTTCGAAGTTAAACCATCTGAAAACAGAATATAAATACAAAAGATGAAAGAATTGTTTCATATCTAAGTGAATATTAAATAGCACCGGTCACTGAGAATGAAACTATAGGCCACTTGCACTAAGAGGTCACGTGACAAATGCTTCCCTTAAGCAATGAGTTGGAATCTTGCTGATGCCAAAACTTGTTAGAGCACACAAAAATTATCTTACACCCGAAATTTGAGAGGAAACGCATTTAAGGGAGATATTTTCTGGCACTTTGATTTTTCAGTAATATGATTTGTATTGGCCGCCATGTTGGAGGGCATGCTTTTGCCCTCCAACATGGCGGCCAAAACTACTTCTTGCTTATATCTTGTTCAATGTTTCATAATTACGCTCAGATGTGCTGTAAACGTTATCACATCATCTTTTCAACATTTTCCTTGAAGTTTAAGTGCAAAATTTGTGTTCAGAGAGAGGTAATTCATAATTTTAAAAGTCACATTTTGGTCACGTGACCATTTACGAACTTATTCATTTTAAGAAAATGGTGCGGGTTTGAAAAACCAAATCACTACTATTTTGTTTAAGATTTGACCTCCTAGTCGTTTTTCGAAGGCAAAATCATATAACTTTCATTTTCATAAAAACGATGTCACATAATCTCTTAGTGCAAATGGCCTATTGTTTTAATATCTCTAGCCAAATTTCTGAAAACGTTAATTACCATCAAATAGATTCTTCGGTCAAGCAGCTCCTTCTCTGGGCACATATCAGATGCTAGTGAAAAGCTAAGTTCGTTGATTGGAGTACCGATGTGCCTGTGTAAGCTCATACCGCTCGAGAGGCTAAACTGGAAATGTACAAGGCCGCTGCCCTTCCCTACCTCACATACTGCCGGTTGACGTGACATTTTTGTAGGAAGTCGGATAGTAACAATGTTATAAAATTAGGAAAATTCAATTCAGTTGAAGAAAGAGGGCTGGGGGCACTTCATAATGACTGAAGTTCCACGAACAGTCAACTGTTGTTAGTAAGATGGAAAATGAAAACTCAAATATGTAACGGGGGTCTTCAAAATATAACAATTTTATGTTCAAGGTCAAAAACAAGGTCGTGCGGAAATATCTTTCAGCTTTATTCACAGTAAACATAATAAATTTTAATTTAAGGGCCGCCAAATTTATTTTGCCTAGATTTAAAACATTTAGATTTGGTATAAACACTTCCACCAGACGAGAAATGGATTTGCGTCAAATGTGCAAAAGTGTGCAAACTAAGGGTAAAACCGGCGCAAAGGTGGAAAATGCTGAATTTTCACACCCATTTACCACCTTTGCGCAGATTTTACCCTTAGTTTGCATACTTTTGCACATGAGCAAATTTGACTTAAATCCATGGAGAAAATTATCATCCACTATATGAGGACAGTAGTACACTTGTATCATTTAAGAATAAGATAAGGAAGCAATATTTGAAGGAACTTGTAGAAAGGGTCTGTCCTCCAGGCTGTGTTTTATGTACGTCATGAATTCAGTTTTTGCTATTATACCTTTTACTAAGTTATAATTATTATTATTATTATTGTGAAAGGTTAGTATTATTATCGTTATTTATTGTCTATTATTATCTTTTTTTCTATAATTACAGTCTATCGTGGATGGGTGTATATAATTACTCTAAATATGTTTAGGCTTTATTAGATGTCTTTATAGAAATTAATATCACTTGTAGATATAGAGAATACTTCATGGAAAGTGCTGGCGAACGGTATTTACGTACGAGTTGATGACGTATCAGAAACAAAACAACGAGTGCGTAAATACCGTACAATGCACTTTCCATGTGGTATTGTGTTTATTATATACATACTGAGCTACTCATCATTTTGGCGGCCTTTTTATTTTAAATCTTTCAAAAATGCTAAAATTTGCCGCTACACACTTACCGCAAAATGACAACGAAAACGAAGTATCAGCTTTTTATTAAAAACGTTCGTTAAAAACACATCCTCGGAGACCCAGGGGCAGTCAGTGGGGCAGGGAGAAAAGGCGCGACGAAAGTTTTCAAGCAGGGGAGGAAGAGCCCCTGGGTACCGACTCTCACCGGACCATTTCGAAACGATCAAGCGAATACAGGCTCGTGATCGGGCACAAAAAATGCTTTGTATTATTGTGCCCAATCGGCGAACAGTATCTTTTGGTGAGTTTGTACATGACGGCTATTGATTCGATCACGGCTTGTCTGGCTCATGCACCAAAGAAATGCAGGCAGTCAGGAAACTCTTAGTTTGATATAAACTCTCCATTTCAAAATACTGTCAACCCGAAAACTAAAGACGCTTTTACGAAAATACAAGCTTGAGCTTACAACAGATATTCACGCTTGCATCGATCACGTCTTGGTAAATATTATGGAGTTTAAGATGCCACGATAACTGACAGCCACGAAAACGTCGCATGAAAAGTGAATAACATTTTTTCAGTCTCTTTCGTGATTATTCCAACTCGCTTACTTTGTTACATGTAAATGTAAGAGAACTCTTCTTGAGCTGAATTTCTATCAACCATATCCAAGTTCATAAGGAGAAAGAAAATTTTGTCACTCATTGCTTGTTTACGTCCTTCACAAAACGTGAAGCTAGGCATTTTCACGTGGTAGTCCTGCAGTGACGGCAAAGAAATGTACAACAAAGCGTGATGCACGTGCAAAGGTGTTGTTTTCCCTTTCAAGCTATTGCTTTTTTGATTTCTTGTCTCCACCGCATCTTAAATTAAACTTCCTATTATTTACGATACATTGTGATCCGTCAGAAACAGAATTTTCGCAGTGCAAATTGAATTGCTCCTGCTGATAGCATCCGAAACGTTTTTCGACTTATCAGTAGTTCCTTTGTCTGGTTGGGAAAGCTTGGTGAACGAACCGCGCTACTGTGGCGAGATAATGGCCGTCGTGTACGAACTCACGAATTGAACTCAGGAGAAACTGTTCGCCGATTGGGCACAATAATACAAAGCAAGTTTTGTGCCCAATCAGGAACCAGCATTCACTTGACCGTTTGGAAATGGTCCTGTGAGAGTCGGTACCCAGGGGCTCTTCCGCCCGTGCTTGAAAACTTTCGTCGCGCCTTTTCTCCCGGCCCGACTGACTGCCCCTGGGTCTCCGAGGATGTTAAAAACATAAATGACGGCAAGGATATGAGGTAATCGAAGAACTATAAGTAATCTTAACTGTTTGTTTTCTCAATGCACAATTAAAAATGAGTGAATTTAAGTGAAATGGCCGGTTTCAAATATTTTAGCTTAAGCTTAAATGAAAGGCAAAGTAGCTCCGAAAAAAAGCACAACAAAAGCTTACGTCTCGTTCTGGTTTTCCCTTTCCGCTGTTGTTTCGCCTGCTCTCTACCGTTTTCTTTATCGACAGTGAAACAAACGAAACTATTCCACTCCATTTCCGAAATGTTTTTCACTTTTTTAGCGAGAAAAACTCTTTGAGTAAAACTTTTCTCGTTGAATGTGTGCGAATGCAAGCTGCGATAAAAGGCGGGAATTTTGGCGCGAAACTCATACACCTCTGTGGCTTCTGATTGGACGTATCATTTTTTTCACGTGTGAAAACCATCGTTTGCTCCTCTGATTGGCTTGAACTAATTTGCGTACGAAAATTTACGACATAGCTTTTTGGTGAGTATTTCTCAGTATGTATATAAATACTGTATACATATTATGAACATAAGTGTACTCTACTTGGTTCTAAATGGGATAAGGGCCGGTCTGTGGAGGTCTGGGTGCAGGTAAGTTGAATACAATGAAACCTGCATTAAGCGGACACCCTCTATTAAGCGGACAGTAACCGAAGTCCCCAACTTTATTTCCCTTATTTACTTTAAATGAAACCTTTATTAAGCGGACACCTCTATTAAGCGGACGCGGACACCTAAAAAGTACCTGAAATGGTGATTTCTATTGTTGCCAACCTGTATTAAACGGACACTTGTAATAAAACTCCACTGCCCAACATGCCTGATATCATGGATGGACAAGAGGACCTTACGCTGCCCATTAAAGCAAGGCAGCCAAATTGCTCCAGAAAATGAAGTTTAAGATTCTCAAATCAAACAATCACGAATTGATGACTTTTATCTTTAGAGATAATGCTTAATATCCATTGCATCAGTACAATTAACAACTTAGAAAAGGACACAGTGTTTATAATAGTTTTCACAATATACAACTTGTTCTGCCCACGTGATCGGTTTCACAGTACGCAGTATTGTTGTTTTTTTGTTTGTTTTTTTTTTTGTATAGAGCTTGCTTTACTCACCTGATCTCTTCAAATTTGAGGTGCAATCTAATGTTTATGGTACCATGATCAATTGGTCCACTTAAAGAAAGAAATTAATGCAAACGCATGCGTATATCGTCATAGTCTCTGCATCGGAGTATTCCAAATGTTTCCACGTTTTCATTTGAATGGCATGACGTTTGAATGACGTTAATATCTATCGAAACCTGTATTAGGCGGACACCCTGTATTAAGCGGACATCATAGAGCATTCCCCCAGGGTGTCCGCTTAAACAGGTTTTACTAATTCTTTCCAGTGCTGCTACGTTTAAAAGTAACAGGATAACAGCAAATCCTGTTGTCGTATGTACCCGGATAGACAGACCATATGCATTATCCTCTTTGAAACGGTGGTACGTTCGTCGGTCGAAACTCTCTCTCCATGATGTGATAAATTATCTTTCTCAGGTATTCTTCACTACTAAGACACTTACCTAACTGGTATTTCCTCTCCCATGTATGATTCTTTTTTCAAAACTTCCATTATTTTTTTCTGAAGGGCGGCAACTCCCTTGTCTGATGAGCTTTTGGTATTATCGACAGAGAAGATAGGACGAATCACTTGACTCTCGTAGTCCATTCCAGATATTTCTCCTTCAATCTGTGATTTCATCTTTTCGATGTCTTCATGTGCTTTATCTGCATGTGTTCCTACAATGAACACTGGGGGGCGAAACGAGTAAGGCCGACCTCCCCCTTTCGTTTTCTGAACATTTTCTTTTGTTTTTGGTGAGCACCTGGTGCTTAGAGTAACCAGCCACGACAACAAATTTTCTACATTTGTTTCTTCATTTGGATTATGGTGATTACGGGTAATTTTCTTAAGTCCTTGTTTGAAGCAAGGCTGAGCAATGTCCTTTAATCCTTTGCTGAGATCGTGAACAAGTAGGTAAGCAGCTCGTGGCGACAAGAATACTGGATATGATGCATAGTACGCCTGTTGACCAGTGAAGTCCCACAGATCAAGGATCATATGATGTTCAACAGTTTTTGCATCAATTGGTGGGTTATCCCCTTTCAACAATTGAACAAGTTGATCCGTAAATTCTTCTGGCGGCGAACTGAAGTCGATTTCGACTTCTGAGTCAGTCGATACGGGTGAATTTGTTTCTTTTTTATCGTTCTCAGATATACCCTGAAAAATAATTTGAAATGAATGAAATGCTACTTCTACAATTGTGATAAAAATTACCTGCTTTTAGAAAAAGGCCATTTCAAACGGGTTCATAAATCATGGCTTCACCAACTGGTAATGTTTCTGTACTCTAAAGTCACACATTTTCCACTGATAGAAAACTAAGGGAACTCTGAGAAATAAAAGTACTTCCTGCAGTTCCATACGTTGGACAAAATCTTAGAAAACTAGAAGGTTTTTGTGGATTGTTTTTATCCGTTATTATCCTTTCGTTCATACTTTCCTTTCGGTGAAACGTCTTTTTGTCTAATGGTGGAAATATCTGAGAAAGAGGCGAAATTAAGGTTTTCAACCAAATTCGAATAAAAGAGGGCGATGTGAGTAATAAATAAATTAAAGTTAAAAACAAAGAAATGAAAAACGACGAAAACCGACTGCTGGAAAAGTTATTCGTTTTGGTCAGTTAGTTTAAGATTGTAAGCTAAATGCAATTACCCTGCTAGTAGAGTCGCTTCGATCTTTCCTAGGAAGATCGAAGGAGACTCTGTTAGCAGGGTAAAACGCAATCATTTAAAGGGGCTATGTCACCCCACAGGCATGCGCGAGCCAATGAAAACAAACTTGAAAAAGTCGGCCCGTCTTTTTCAAGTTCTGTCGGAGATTTTGGAAGGCTGTTTTTATCTGTCTAAATATTAGCCATCGTTCGATAGTTAGCGAAGTTTTGTATTAAGAATCGTTCTATGGTGATTACAGAATAATTTTTTGGCGTTATTTTAAAATTGTTTGCCTGTGGAATGTTTTTACGTGGATTTACTGTGTCCTCTTATCAGCGGCCGTTGTAATGGCAGAGTTAATGACGGCTACTCCACAATGAGTGATGGAATCTTTGATGGAATCTTCCGTATAGTTCACAGAACCTTTCTATTGAGTTATTTTAGAGGTTGCTGGCTCTTGGATTTTTCTTGTGCTCAAAGTATGTGGACATATAATGAAGCGGCTATCGAGTTGGCGGCGGCCGTTTTTGGTAAACGATTACAAGAGCATCAGGCCATAAGTTTCGTGACCAAACTAAACTCCTGGAGAAGAAAACATTATAAAATTCGGCTAGATTCCTCCTTGTATTTATCTGGATTCACGGCAAAGATAAACACGACCGTTTGCTCGTCCAGATTGTTCTTAACGGACTTAGAGAGGCACCTTAGTACGAGTTAGATCCAGTAAATGCCATGTTTTTGAACTGTTTGTGTTCGAGCATATTTTTGGAAAATAGCAGAGTTTACTTTCCCTTTTTTATCAACGGACTGCTTATAGTGGAGTAGTATACCAGTGATGCTTGGTTCTGTTTTTCTCGACGTCGCAGTGATTCGGCACGATCGAACAATTTTGCGCGATAATGTATGTTTCCCTAAGATCAAAACAAAAACTTGATGTCTCTTGTTCTATCAGCATCTAAATTATAAAATCACTAGCGACAGACAAGTCTAATTGTTAATGATTTGAAACAGTCTTGGTCTTTATCTTCGGTCTAGCGTCTTTTGTAGCTCGTTTGTAAAATACAACTTCGATTTATTTTGTTGAATAAGACAATATGTTGTTGTTGAATTTTTGTTTGCGCACTATTTTATGAATGGCATGCGTTTTTACTCCCAAACTACAAGTAAAATGGTCGTCACAATTTTATTCTTGATCTAGCATAACCAGAGAAGAAACGCCGTGTAAATTCTATCGAAATATCCTTTATCTAAATCCATTTCGCTTGTTAACCTCTCTAAATTCGGAGCCTTCGACGTGACAGAGAAGGTCACGCGTTAAAAACAATAGAATTTTGACAGTTGAAAGTAATTTGCATAACCTCAGAGCGCATGTTCTCCAGCTGACATAGCCCCTTTAATGGTAACAAACTTTTGAAAAGTAGAAAACTAGCAAAGGCGAAATTCAATCAAAGACGTTCAAATCTAAATTCAGACAACAAAATAACTAAAAATAGAGCAAAAATGTCAAATAAACGGTGCTTAAAAGCAGAGGATTGTTTGGAAAGTGTCAAAACACAACTTTCTCACATCACTACGCCTAAAAACAATTCGAGGTTGCAACCTTCAAGCCGTACTGAGCCTGCTCACTGGTCTCCTCCGATGCCGCTCGGGCCGGAGTCACGCAATGCCTCCCTTTCCCACGTGGGGGTGGGGATGACTCCGGCCCGAGCGGCTGCGAAGGAGACTACCCAGACTACGAGTAGTCCCCCATTTTGCCTCAGGGATAGAAGACAGTGCGAAACGCGAGCGCGCGTGAAAATCACCCTAAGCGAGAAAAGGCAACACGCGGCGGGGAGAGACGTGTCGCCTTTTCTCGCGTGGGTGATTTTCACGCGCGCTCGCGTTTACTATCCCTCTCTACTATCCCTGAGGAAAAATGGGGGACTACTCGTGGTCTAGAGACTACCTGCTCATGGAACCTCTAATTTCTCTTTAGAGATGTCGAGCGCGCGTATGAAATTTTAAAGTCGCGGGAGATTTATTGACCGCAAATTTTTAACAGAAAGAAAGAAAACCGTCTGTGGATAGGCTATTATATATAAAGAGGCTGAGAAGAAACGTTGTCATAAGCCTCAAAAAAGCAGACAAAGGGCAACAACAGTCAAACCCGTCAGAAAAAGTACATGAGACTGAGGTGATACTAGAGAACAGAAAGTACTATTATCTCAGGTCAGTTAAGACGACTAAACTGAACGAATACAGTCGAAAACGTAAGCGACCACCCAAAATTCAAAGACTGAGTGGTCGCTTACAGGAGGTGGTCGTTTACAAAACAATGAACCACGGGGGCCTTTTCCGAGAAGAGGTCCAGGCACATCTACTTTAATTTATGGAAGATAATTTATTGCAAGCAATGTCTAAGTTAGGATATGTGTAGTTTCATGTTGTCACTAAAGGCCTTCGTATATTCAGAGTAGCACAGTGCACACAACGAAAATAGAGATCAGAGAATGGGTCAAGTGGTCGCTTACAAGAGGTTAAAAACAATGGAAAAACGTCAGTTAATTAAACCGTCAGGACCAAAAAGTGGTCGCGGTCAAATAACATCTGGAAACCTTGCACCTTTTGGAGGCGGTCAGTATTTCCTAAAGACAATCGATGGGCTTTTAATCAAAAGTCAGTCCAAAACATGCACCCAGCAGTACAATCTTAACAGATCGGAATGGATCAAACCTGCGCCAGTCTAATAGAAAATCAGCCTAAATCAAAGCCTCCTAGCACACACCTCTAACTAAAGAGGCAACGTGGATCAAAAAAATTCTGGACCTTCGCAATTGGGGCCCTAAAAACTTAGCCCTCTCACAGTAATTAATGACCATTCCCTTATAATAACGATCAGTATCAAAATTTTAAGGGTTACAGAAAAAAGATATTGCCGCAACAAAGTCTCATTAGCAATAACTTCAAGGCAAAAATTATTTAAGCACGTGTGTCTGGCAATGGAAAATGTTTGAAATTTTGGAAAATTGTATGTTACTTTGGGTCTTTAAATCCTTCTAACAGGGGCAAGATGCTATGAACAGAAGAGAATTCCAACTGACCTGACTGGTTTGAGAGTTAACCACTGCTATTTCTTCTTCCTGAAGTTCTCCAGGAGCGTCAAAACCAAACTAAAAATGGGGCGATGAATCAACCATTAAAAGTGCTTAAAAACATGGGGCCATTCCAAACTTAACACACCAGAAAACTGTTATTCACGTACTGCTGCATCCGTATATGAGAATCTAATACTTTAGAAAGAACCCGTTAGGCTATAAATTTGGGAATTTAATTCCATTTAAAAACCATGGGTAACATATATATAAGGGGATGTAAAACTTTATGCTAGAGTGCTAACGTCCAACATAAACATCGATTATACAGAGTTTTACTACTTGTTTGACTGGAATGAACACCGGAGTTTTAAAGCAAAAAGTTTCGTCGGACGTCAAGATACAGTAACTACAGGATTACAGGTTCTGGTCTTCTACTGGTAAATGCAAATTTAAAAAGGTCAGCCGGTATCTGATTGTTGCTACACTGTTTCTCAGCGAATGATTGGTGGTTTGGCCGTAGAATTATCATCGGACTGCAACCAAGATTTGGTGTGATCTATTACTACATAAGAAAATGCTGGGGGTTTTTGGCCTAGACAAAAATCCTCAAAAGTTCAAAAGTGAGACAGCTCAATGGCGGTGGATTACAAGACCAGTGTTTTGCATTTCAAAGTTAAAAATACACCGCTAAAAGATATAGATGAGAAGGGAAAGTTTAAAAGAATGCTTAGTTTTCTTTTAGTGGACAGAGGAAGGCTTTTCTTAACAAAAACTGTCCTTCGAGGAATTCGAAATTCACAAAATTTTCATCACGGCCGCGATCGAAGCGCTTGGCCTGTTTTGAAACACAACCAAGCAGCTAAGTGTTTGGAGAATTTTCAGGTACATTTTGTACTATTTGTAAATATTTCATCATAGACGTTTTAAACATTTTGAGATCTTGAGCGCCGTGATTTGAGAATTGTGTTGAATAATTTTTGTCATGTGCTCAGCCGATTTTTACTTGCGTAAACGGATCGACGAGCTAAGTTTGGGTTACGCGAATTGCGTTTCAGGATTAATTTATGGATTTTTAAATAGGTAAAACCTAGTGGCTATTCGTACAGGACCGGTACATCGACTTGTATGGGGCTATTCATACGGGATTCTGACTACACTGATTAGGGTTAAGCACTGACTATACTGATTAGGGTTAAGGGTTACGGTTGTTGCTATATGAATGAAAATCAAACTCCACCTAGCAGCGAGTATCCCGTGGTAGAGGACCTGTCGTGGTAGAGTGCTTAGGCTACGAACTATAGGTTCTACGCCCCGGGATGGATTCTCAATCGTAACGTATCGAGTTTTTTTTTCCTTTTAGAATTTGCCACTGAATTTTTTTTCCTTAAAAATTGAACAGTGGTTGAAGACACTTACACTTTCATGGAAATTAATGACCAGAAATTTCAAGAGACTTGATCCCGTATGAATAGCAAATACACTTCGGTGTACGGGTCCCGTGTGAATAGCTACTTAAATAAACATTTTTCGAGAAATCATGTGTTCTTTCATTGATGACAAAAGCTCAAAACACGATCCTGAGACAACAGCAACCAAGTTGAATGTAATGCTTTTCACATTAATACACGCATCACTTTTGTGAATGTCGGCGAGCTTTATAGAATTTTTACTTTTAGGTTCAGTTTTTGGATACTTTTCAATGCGCAGCTAATGAATTTTATTTTAAGAGTAATGTTTTTTTTTTCTGACTATTCAAGATTGGCGCTCTAAGTTTACCACACAGAGGGTGGCTAAAGTATTGTTTTTACTTTGAAAATTCGCGGTTGTTTAATTGGGTTAAGCTGCAAACTCCAATAGCTCAGCTGGACTGATGAGATTAAAGGAGCAGAATCAACCCTCACAGGACTATGAATAACATTCTGATGACATTTCAAAGCCGATCCCGTAAATATGCACAAGTGTCTTTTTAAAAAACCACAATTTCCTGCTGTTTACAACATCGACAAAATCTTGAGAAACGCACGCATGCGCATTCTGTTTTTGTCTAGGCATTTCCCGACCGTTCGCCTCGTATACGTCACCGAAGTGAATTGACAGAGAGGAATTGGGAAAACCCCGTACAGGCACTTCGGCCACGTGAGTCCAATTCTGTTGTCCTTGTAGCGGACAGCGTTAAGACAAAGGCAAGTAACCTTCGGGTCTGGTTTGGTATCTGCTATATATCGTCCATTTTTATCGACGAAATGAATTTTTATATTCTTTTTTGGTTGCTTGTTGTTATTCTTTAAACCCAAAAATCTAGTATCATAAAAGTACGTTTATAATTCCGAAGATAATTAGATTTCTAAAAGAAATACGCCTTTTCTCTTAGAGGATTTTGCTAACCTTGTTTTTGGTTTTTGTTTTTTTGTTTTTGATTGAGATGTCAGGATTAAAACTCTCAGAAGAAATGATAGTTTTCATCAGTAAAATGTAGGGAAAAGATGAGAGCTAAAATTGCCCTGAACAGCGAAGTCAGACCGACGGCATACCGAAATGGAAAAAAATGAAAAAGCTTTCTCTAAGTCGCTTTTTTATTATCAAAAAATATTTTTAGAAAGATATGAAATAGGCAATAGAAAACAAACGTATTGAAACAAACTACTGTATATGTACTCCTACCATATTACTACTATATTGAATTAAACAAACTACTGTATCAAATGAAATGAAACGTAAAAAATGCGTAAACGGGTAACCTTCGGCAAAGGGGTAATAATAATAATATTGATATTTCATATTTATATAGCGCAAATTAACATACAGGAGGATATGATCAATCTATGTGTACTGGGTACACAATTTATGTATATATGGGTACTAGGTTGTGGACCCGATATGGTCCGTAATAGCAGATAAGTGATTGCCACTCGTAATGGCTTACCCTGCTAGCAGAGTCGAGTCGATCTTTCCTCGCTAAGTCGGGAAAGAGGAGGCGACTCTGACGACATCTTGAAACTCCTTTGATTTTCTGATCATGCTGCGATTTGGATGAGTCAGACAAGTTTCATATTGGATAAACCAGTTTTTTCTGTGCACGCACGTGTATGCTGGAGTTTTGCTGACTCTTTCTGCGCCCACGCTCGATAACAAAACAAATAGCTGCGGCCGCTTCAATTTCTTGCAGAAATTTGAGAAAATTATAGATTGAACGTTCAGTTTTCGAAAAATTGGAAAATGCACCCTGATTTGAGACGGATTTTGTTTTGGATTTAACCATGTGCTTAGCCGATTCTATTCTTTTGTGTTTGCTCCTTCATAACAAAAATACGATCATGAGGCTACAGAATCCAAGTTGCATTTAAACGATCGATGCTTTTACGGCTATTTTTGGATAACACCCGACCTGCGATGTCAATTTTCGAAATCTGAAGAAGCGGCGCTTTCTTCGCTTTCTCACCATTACATCTTAGAGAACCTCCTAGAAAACAAAAGGTTGTGGTATGTGATTGGTGGATTTCGATCCGTTTTGTGTGTTTCTGTGTTTCAAGGTTCGCTGCTGTTTTTGAAAAGCACCGTAAGTTTTACCTCAGCTCTAAGTTTTTTTTTATCCTCTTTATTCTGAAACATGGCAAGTTTAGATTCCCAAGGTGAAATTGTTCCTATAGGGCTTCCAAATCCAGGGGAAACACAGAGACGAAAGGGTGAAAACGAACGGGTACTTTCCAGCTAACATTTATATTTGCTGAGAAACACAGTGGATGCTACGGTAACGGTTTGATTGATGTCGCAGAAAAATTTGAATTTGGAACATGCTCAATACGAATTGTCTAGGATGTCGGCAGAGGTTCCTTCCTCTTATCGACTTATCTAGGAAGATCGGAGGAGACCCTGACTTTAAATGTTCGCAGGGTAGTAATGGCTTTTAAGTACTCGTTTTTTGTCATGCAATCTACGTGGGTTCATACTGAGTTCCATACCCGGCCTTGCCCATACTTTTTTTTTTAAAGAATTAAATATATTGTTTAGTTGTTGTTTTTTATGGCACACACCTAACTTATGAACAACGTAAGCACATGTCATCGTAGATACCTATTTCTTTCTTTCTGTTGCCATCTGACTAAGTTTTGTCTACTAAGCTTTACCTGAGCTAGATTCACGATCAGTTTCCCTTCTTCTTCGACTTCGTCCCCTTCGTCAACTTTCTTTTCATCTCCTCTTTCTTCGTCTTTATTCTCTTGGAGCTCTCTGAACACCATCATGGCAAGATCGGAGGCAAATTGAGACACCCCTGACTTTTTATCATTGCGTTCCCAGTTCTTTGCTTGTTCGGTGACTATTTCGAATTTCGATGGATCACTTTCGTTTCCCTCAGCACTTCCTTCCTCAGGATGAAATGGGAGACCAAGCAATGACTTCTTTAAACTTGTCTTTCCCGCTCGAACTTGACCTATCAGCATGATTCGTGCTCGGTTCACCTTCACCTTTCCTGTCTTTAAAGCATTTAAATAAGCAAGCTTTGCTCTTGGTCCTCGTGCTTCGATCTCACTTGGAACTGAATAAATCGTATGCAATACATTTTTTAGTTTAGAACTTTTTTAGCCAGTGCTAATTTCCATATTTGTTACTATTTTATCAGCTTTTTATGGATCGGTTGTTGTATGAGTGGTATGTTAATCAATTGCGTGTGTTGAATGCCTGGAGAGGTTTTGAGGAAATGCAAAAGAAAAGAGGAGGACGATGCTTAGAATACCTGGTCTTCTTAGAACTAAGTCAGTTATGAAGAAGATGATTTTTTACTTAGTACTAGAGGAAACTCGGAGGGAAAAATCAAATTAAAGTACTCCCAATAGGAGTCGGACCAGTCCAGATACTCCACCACTAAGCTACCGGCAGGAGACTTGTAACCAAATGTTGTATGATATAATCAGATCTCTGCAGCTTTAATTCGTCACTCCATTAAAGTATATTTCTTCGCATGTTCATATTTTAGAATTCTGTACTCTGTTCTACACTTAAAGGATTCATCGACATCAATTCGCGTAAAAATTCGATGATCTACACTCAATCTACACACTCGATCAGCTCCACGACTCCGAACGACTGCACAGTTCTAAGACTCTCGTGCAAAGCTCAGTTTTCAAATCCCGTGACGAGTTTTCCCGCCACAATGACGAAATAATTTCTAACAAGACTGGTGTGCTCTAAGGCCACTAAAACATAGTGATACTCACGCTGACGTCAGGTACTGATATTAATGTGCCAACCAGGCCCCAGTTGTTCAAAAGATGAAAAGCGCTATCCATCGGATAAATATTTATCCAGTGGATAAGTATTTGGGTAACCAATTGCACTATCCACTGGATAGTTATATATATGGTGGATAGCGTAATCCACCTTTTGAACAACTGGGGCTACAAGCTTATTGGTTCTTGTAATTAACAAGTGATTCTTATTTTTTACTTGTTACACATTTCAAAAACAAAAACAATGTTTGTAAACAGTCATATCTCCTATACACAACCTAGTTTAGTGGCCTTAGCGCCCACCACTCTGCTGTATCTTAGTGGTCGACTCCTAATGGAAGTACTGACTCGGATTTTTTCCCCGGCGGATTTTTTCCCGGCTTCCGAACCGCCTGAGTCGCTCAATGACTGAAAAGTCATCTTTCTCATATATTCACAAGGCTTAAAATTCGTCATCACATTTCTATCATTGATAGAAATAAATTATGTTTGGTGTGGTGCAGAAATTAACAAAAAAAGGAAGAAGATTTCAGAAGCTGTGCGAAGACAAAATAGCCGCACTACTACCTAAAAAACATTGCAAGGTAAGAATACGCATAAATAGTAATCGACGGGTTGACAACTGCTATATGAAGGCTAGGGTATCTGCTAAAATAAATTAATCTTCAATTCTTTCCCTTCGGTTTCAGTCAGAAAATCGGATATTTCGTTTTTGGATAACCGTTAAAACCTTTCTCAAGTTTTCAGGCTTACCTGAACAACCGCTTGCTTCTGCGTCCAGGTTTTCATCCCCCTTCTCCTTGGCGAAACGAGGTGATTCTTTGCTGTTTCCTTTGCTTTGTTCATATTTTTCAAGTTCAGAATCCGACCAGCCTAGAAAACAGCACGCTTTTGATTTCAGTTCCTTGTCACCCAATTCCTCGCTAATTCTTAGTAATTCTTTGCCGCATTTCCTGCTTTGTTCAGAGTCTCCTACTTGATCATGTGACTTTGCTAGAACATCGCAGGCATGTGCTTCCAGCTTCTTATTGCCCAGTTCTTTGCTAATGCTTAGCAACTGTACACCGTATTCTATGCTTTTTTCCATGACTCCTTCTTGATAATACGACTCTGCTAGTACTTCACTCGCTTCGGCTTCCCGTCTCTTTTCCCCCAGTTCCTTGCTGATGCGTAGCAACTCTTCAGTGTATTTTCTCCTTTCTTGTTCATTTCCCTCTTCACAATACGACTTTGCTAGAACATCACACGCTTGTACTTCTTCTTTCTTACTCCCCAATTTTTTGCTAATGCTAAGCAAATCTTTGCCGTATTCTTTGCTTCGTCTATAGTCACTTTGTTCATAACACGACCAGGCTAGAATTTCGCAAGCTGATTTTTCATGTGCCTTATCCCCCATTTTCTTGCTAATGCGTAGCAATTCTGTGCCAAGTTTTTCACTTTGTTTATAATTTTTAAGGTCATAAAACGACCAAGCTAAAACCTCTCTTGCCGATATTTCCATTTTTTTATCACCCGATTCCTCGCTAATACTTAGTAATCGTTCGCCGTATTCTATGCTGTCTGTACATCTCTCCTCCATGAGATACGACCAGGCTAGAACATCGCATGCTTTTGCTTCCACTTTCTTATTTTCTAGCTTCTCGCTATCTTTTAGTAATTTCTTTCCTTCTGTGATGCTATTTTTATATTCTTTAACATGGAAAGACGACCAGGCTAGTACTTCGTGTGCTGATACCTTGAGTTGCATATCATCCAATCCCCCGCTCATCCTTAGTAATTCGTTGCTGAACTCTTTGCTTTTTTCATAGTCTCCGTAATCTTTATACGCCCAGGCTAGAACATGGTATGCGTTTGCTTCGAGCTTCTTGTACCCCATCTTTTCGCTAATTTTTTGTAATTTCGTGCCGTATGTTGTGCTTTGTTCATAGTCTCCAACATCGTAATACAACCAGGCTAGATCGTCGTACGCTGTTGCTTTCTTCTTGCTATCTTTATCTTTCACGGCGAGCGTAAGCCTTTTCTCGGCATTCGCTATTTTTTCCTTTTGTCCTTCACATCTCTCAGAGTCTAGGGTAGTCTTTGGAACTTGCATTAGGCACTCTTCTCTGTCAACTGCTGGAATACAAACAGTAAATTAACTCTGCAAGAGCATTCACCATTCGTGTATTGTTCGTGTCGATCGTAGCCTCCACGGGAAGTTCAGGGTATCCTCTAAAGTCTCGTTTCTATACTTTTAACGGTAGTTTTGAGATAACGCCGATTGCACTTGTTCGGATTGCTTCTAAAACTGCTCACGACTGCAGATACTGTGTCCGCACTGTTAAGTTTCTTATTAGTTGGGCGTATGAGCTGCACACGGTTCCTTGTTGCAGGCACGTGATAAATATTTGAGGTCAAAATTGTGCGAAATTCTCGATGGTTGCTTAGCCGGGGGGCTTAGCAGGTGTCTCCAAGGAAATCGGTGGTGCAGTCCTCCTGCCAGTATGATGTCACGTCTCACATCAGTGACTTTCAAAAGGGCGAGCAAAGTGTTCATCGAAGAGATGGATGAAAATGTCGAATTTATCACGGAAATACTGTTTCGATATCTTTGGCGATATTACGATCCCTATTCTCATAAAAACCCAGACTTTGGTCGCTAGGAACAGAACCCGGTTCATCTGGACGTGCAAGCAACTCCTTCACCGCTGCATCACACTGCTCCCACGGTCTGAAGAGCTGATTTTGTTAAAACCATTTTTCTCTCCATGGACGCTGTTTGAAGCTGGTGGAGCTGTATATAACATTAATTCAAATAAACATTTGACGAAAATTAGGTTACGCGCGTATTTCAAAGCTATTTCACATTAGTATATACTAAAACAATGTATACAGCTAGAGCGCACTCTGATTGGCTACTCAATCAGTGAATATCCTGCACTATTCACTGATCCACCTCCAGTTCGTCCGAGGGCTCGCAAGTTTGGCGAGCGACGCCAAACTTGCTAAATAAGTTGCGAGCAAAATTCCTTCTCGGTTTGCTGCCGCAACAAACAATGAAATTTCAGAAATAATCAAGCAAGCTCTTCCCGAAATACGCGAAGAAGTTTTAAGAGGTAAAGCTTTGCCTTTTTGACTTGAATTTATCCCTGAAACCTGTGAAAAAGTTTTTTTTTTTTCAAATGCAAATTACTTCATTTGGTTGACTTATTCATAAATAAGCTTAAAACTAAATTTAATCATCTTTTTTACAGAATGATTCTAAATACAAAAAGATTCACAACTTCTTTTGAAGAAATTTCCTCGCAAGAGCTAAACAAATGCCTTCAAAAGTTTTAATTGTTGGCAAGAAATAGCAACGGCCGTGGCCGTTCGGTCATTGTGCTCCAAAATTGTAATCGTTGGCAACAGCAAATGAGTTCAAAATCATGATTTTTTTGCTCAATTATCTCACTGTTTTAGTATATACTAAAACAATTATTCACCTCGGTGTCGGTGGCTATTGGTGGATATCTACCTCGCCGCTTCGCGTCTCGGAACTTTTACCACTAGCGATCTCCACTTCGGTGAATAATTGTTATTTATTTCGAGTTCAACATAGATAATTGATCAAACTGGCTTTACTGAATTTGGTGGAGACTAAGCAAAAGCAACAGAGGCCCACACTTGAAGCTCAGGGATTGAAATGACCTACGGTCGATTTAATCAACGAAAGAATATTTGGAATATACATGTGTGTGATTCCTGAATCGAACCTCCTATTCTAGAGAAAAAAGGGACAGTGATGATCTTGGTCCCGTTTAGAAAATGGCGATCCCGCAACACGGCCCGCGACACAAATTAACAAAATTACACAGTTACTAACACAAAATACCAAGTCGGTTTATACAAGCAGATAGAAGTAAAAACAAAGTTTACACACTGATGATCAAATTAGCTATATATGGCAAAATTTGCTAGGAATTTGTCTTTCTCTCGACCTCTCTTGTTCTCCCTCGGTCCCGAAAGCTTTAAATGAGATGCATTCTTTCATTCGACATGCGTGACAACTCTGTTTGTCGTTACAATGAACCAATCACAGAGCCTTTTAGTTAAAACATAACACAAATTTCTCAATCTCCAGCTAATGAAACATATTTTTCCCCCGGACAACTCTAATTTTAAATCGTATCATATCCACATCATCACTGAAAAACTCTTTCCTAGCATGAGTCAACACACAAATGTTACAAAAATCACGCGATTCTACGCGACATTTCCGGGTATCACAACTAGTAAAAAAGTTGCATATCACTCACCACTTCTTCTATTACACAACCCGGAGTTTCGCTGTGAAAACCTTTTTGCTCAATGAACAAGCATCTGAAAAGTTGACTCGTTACAGCAACAAAATAACTTCAAGTTTTTAGAAATAACGCAAGCTGTACAACACGACTGAATTGCGCAAGACTATCACGAGAAAGAATCCCCGTTAATGCTTCATCCGCTTTTTTTCCTCTTTTTTTTCAAAGGCCAACGTATCGCCCACGTGATATGAGTAACTGCACAAAGTCAGTGTTTAGTTTCAGCTTCGCCGTTCATGTGATAGCACCGCACCAATCGGAGATTCTCTCTTTTTCTCTGCCCCGCCATGTTCAGAGGGTCTGAATGGGGTTTAGTGTTTAGTGTTATTTGCCCATAATCTTTAGTGTTTCCTATTAAATTGGCCAATTTTGTAATGTTTACTGTTTCCGAAGAAATTCTGTTAAGTGTTTGGAGCGGTTCTTCTGACATTTTCGGCAATGGTCGGACCTCTTCGTTGGTCTTTGGAAATCTTCGACAGTCTTCGGGAATCGTCGGTAACCTTCGGAAATATTCTTAAACAAGACGCTACGGAGCTAGCGTACACTTCGGCGTCGTGGTTGTGGAACTAATTAATTGTAAATGCGGAGGAATAGTAAGAAATCAAATATGGTAAGAGTAAGGTGTGAAATTATGGGATCTGTCAGGATATTCTGAAAAGAGCAACATCCAAGAGGCCTACTTGCCAAAAACTAGCATTTCAGGACAAATTGTCTCCGCGATATTAGCCCAGTTATGCTCTGATGACTCCATACAAATCCTCCTAAAAAACAATTCTCTATTTTTCTTAGTAACATCAGGCTTCAAAAACAGCATAGCAGTCTCATGTACTGATTAAAGATATGTAAGGCATGGGTAAGGAGTCCATTACGTTGAGCATGGAATTGGCTAAAACTCAAAGTCACGAGTTCGAATGTTTTGAGGATAATTATTCACTGACTATCAGCACGCAGGGATGTCGGATTAACACAAGGAAGTTTACCACCGTTTTCGTTGATACGCGACTTTCGAAAACAAAACACCCGCGGAAACGTTTCCAAAATTTCCGTCAATCATGCATGTTATCGACAGATCGGATCGAAATCCACCAATCACAGCCCGCTAGCATGACGTACAGAAGGTCAGAAGGTCACACTAGTGGTTGTGATTGGTGGATTTCGATCCGATCTGTCAATAACATGCATGATTGACGGAAATTTTGGAAACGTTTCCGCGGGTGTTTTGTTTTCGAAAGTCGCGTATCAACGAAAACGGTGGTAACACCAAAGGAACATAGCCTTTACAGAGCTTTAAAACACAGCATCCGCCAACACAAACTTGACTTGAACTTTGACTAAAACTAAACAGCCTCTACCAATAATAACAAACTCTCACTTGAACTTCAGATATCTTACGGCTTCCGCGAACTTGTAAACACAGAACCTGAATAATCGACCTTCGTCACACTTGACTAAACACAGCAGTCCAGCTCGTGGGAAAAAACTTAGTTCGTCAAAAGAACTCGCTTGGAACTTGTATACCGTTTGACATAAGGTTCTAGAAAATACTAAACAGGCGAATAGTAGTAGCTTTTCGACATATTTTTATGATTTCAGTAACTGATGCAAATTTGCTGACTCATGCTGAAATGTAAACGTGCCCTAATTAATTATTCATGGCTAATCCAAAAACGTACAGAACGTTCGAGAAAGTCACGCAACGCATGAAAGCAATTTTACTGCGTAACACTCAACAAAGACAAAATGTCTTTGTGCCGCATATTGTAACTTTAAATTCATCATAAAACAGTTCGAAAGGAGGGCTCACTCGTGAAATGTTTTTCAACACTCGAGGAGAAATTTCGTGTCTCTGCGCGGCTACGAAATATCCTCTATTTATTCCTAGAGTAATTAAAGACTAAACTCTAAGTGATCTCAAGATATCACGAAGTAGTCCGATCTCATTTCGTGAAATAGTTGAAACAAGCCGAAAAGTCACGAACTTGCACGCCCAATCTTGTCCCGAAACTAGTGCATCATTTCATAACTATTTTTCACATCCCAAACTACCTTGGGTCGCAGTAGCGCAATCGGCTTATCCCTCAACTTAGAGTCTTCCCTGATCTGACGGGTCACACAGGTGAGCCGGTTCAAGTCCCGGGAAGGCCAAAATAGTAATTCTTTCTTCCTCGAAAAAGTTAAAGAATAAATCAAAGAAGTCGAAGTAATCTCGAGATATCTCGAACTAATTCGGCTCTCACTTCGTCAAATAGCCGAGTAGAGCCGAAAACCTACAGACTTTGCTTGCCCAATCTTGTCAAAAAATTGCAACTTTGATACATTCCTGAGCGTCGCGAATCCTTTACTTCGCGCTCCGCCGAAGTAATAATCCGGAATTGTCGTAAAATGGCCGAATATTCCTTGCTATACGAAACAAAAAAATATTGCCCGTTTTGGAGCCGTTTTTGCTTCTTTCTGTCTTTCTGGAAAAAAATTAGGGCCAGTTATTTAAACGTAGTTTATCCAATGCTTAACAAAGCCGCGTTCTAAGCCATTTTCAATTTTCTTAACAGTTTTATCTAAACACCATTTATTGTGAACCGTTTTATTAAAGTATGTAGAGTAGCCTAGAAAAGCATTTCTCTTCTTAGAGTAATGCACTGAGGAAGAGATCTGGAGGTCCAAAGATTTG